GTTTTTATCTTATTGATTCTTTGTAAAATCATCTAAAGAGATCAAAGCTGTACAAAGTATTCTATGTGAAGAATCCCAATTAGTGTTATATATATATATATATATATAAAGAAATAGTTAATTTTCTTGACTTGATCAATATGTGTATAAAAACAAAAATGTTTCAAAAGTAACTTTTGCCATTAAGGTAATCACATTCAGGAAACGGGTGGACACAATTTTGTAAAACTCTATGTAAATCAATTTCACCACACAGAAAACAATTTACACTACCATATGATGTGCTATGATGATTTACTGATCACACTGAATGGTACCTTTAGTATGGGTATAAGAGCAATTGTCCAAAATCATATCCAAGCAGTTTTGAACAAGAGACCACATGGTCAAATTGGTCTACATGCAATTGTGTAAACAACAAAAGTAAGTGACTTTTTAAACACTCAGTATATCCTAAAATTCTCGTAGCTTAACTAGTATCATCAGAGCACTAATTAGATGACTTGAGTACTTTATTTACCATTATGCTAAGATTTCTTTCTTTAGTATTGCTAATGAGTGGAATCTTATCTTATATTAATGCAGCTTGTAGTTTTGTATGTATGTCAAACTGATTACTGCTACAGTTATGAAGCTAGCAGGACCAAACATGGCAGATGGCATAGCCCCCCCCCCCCCTACCATTTCCACAATGTCATTCAGGTATGATGGGAGTCTAGGAGTTTGATTCCATCATCAGATTTTGTGCTTATGGATACAATAAATACCATGTTCTGATACAGTAATTCCCTCCACTCGCAAGATTATTATTCCTGTTCAGTACTGCCCTCTATATGTGAACTTTTTTGAAAGCATGCCACAAGCCTTCTGCTTCTTCCTATTGGAATCTAGTGATTCCAACATGTCTCATGCAAATCATCATGCATCACTTCTCCACCAATGGAGTACTACATAGTCACGTGACACATGTGACTCCCTTATACTCATTCACCAAACTATCACTTCTTGTTTAGTAGCACTTGTACTCAGTACTTTTTTTTTTTGGTTCATTCCAAAGTTATGTTACCACTTGGGGGTCACAGCTACGACTAGCACTATCTCACAGGCTGCAGGTGCGGGCAACCTGGCATGGGTTTCTATCAGTGTTTAACCTCCAGGAGATTCAATGTTAAAAAGGTCAACCTCTTTCTTCAGTTATTGCCTACAATTCCTCATGTAGAAGCCAACTCTCTTTGGGTGGATGGAGATGTTTATAGCCTTTTTCCACCACTGGATTTCAAGTGTTTGTTTCTTCATTTCCATTATGTAGTCTCCATTCCCAATATAGAGATTCTATGCTTTTTTTGCACATTTATAATGGCTTTCATTCACATTACCCCACAGACAGTTTCCTCCTTATTTCATCAGGAGTTTGATTGTCTAATGTCTGGACTTTCATCAGACTTTTCCTCGTGCTTCATGATCCACCATTTGCCATACAGTCTGCCGACTTTGCAACAATAAGACGTTTTACAATTTTATTGTTAATATTATTATCTCTAATTATTTTGATTCCTTAACATATGCTTATTTAGATTAGTTAATACTAAGTAACGTTACAATACATAATTAGTCTTCGTTGTTTTTCTCCATACCTTTCGATTAGGCTTCACATGATATGTCCTTCATTAGTTTAACTATGTTAGTTCCTTATATTCATATCATCATTTCTATTTCATTTCATTAATAAACTGTTTCTTCACTTGGTTTGAGTGGAACTGTTGAATTGGGGCTTGCTCTGACTTTTCCCAGTATTGTGCCTACTTATTGTTCAGTTTCGTTTTTCTTTTCATTCTTAGGTTATCCTTTGTTCTGTACAGTTCGATTAGGCATAACTAGTTTACATTCTTTTCAGTTTCCTTGTTATTTCTGTTCACTATCTTGTTTGAATCGGCTTTATTTCTGTATTATTTATTGGTTTATCCGTGGTTTTATTGACGGGTTAATACCTACTTAGGTTTCAGTTTTTCTTCACCACTGCATCATACAGGATTCATTCCCTATACCATTTTCTTCCCATTTTAATATGTTGACTAATTCATTTTGTTTGTCTGTATAGTTTATCCTTTTACAGTTACTTTCATTTCATCTCTACTTTATAATTATTACCATTCATTTCATTTAGTTTATAATTTATCCTTCTTACCATTAATTTGTTTATTGGTTCCCGCAGTTTTATGGACAGGTTCATATCTAACACAGTTCCAGATTTTTCTTCAACTCAACATCATAAGGGAATCATTCCCTACACCATTTTCTTCCCATTCTTCACTACATTCACTATTTCATTTTGTTTTTCTTTCTAGTTTATATTTTTTACAGTTACTTTCTACTTTTTACTATTAATTTCATTTCATTTATAATTTATTCTTTGTACCAGTAATTTAAATTCATGTGTTGGTACCTAGGAGCCAGGGTCTCCATATCTGCTTCCACTATTGCTCACCTTCCCCATCTAATGGCTGAACTCATTTTCCAACATCCTAAAATTTTCAGTTCTTCTTGACCTTATCATGGAACGCCTTCCATACTTCTTTTGTAGTATCAGCTAGACCTACTTTACACATTTTCATATATGTTTTGCAGAATATTATCTTCATGTTTTCTGTGCTGTTCTTTTTGTCTCTTTGAGTTTGGCTACTTACAAGACTTACCTTCTAAGGGCTTTCAATTTTATCTTTGTTTAACTTCAGACAGATTTCTTTCAGCATTTGTCATTCTCTTTCCCCTGTCATTGCTCATACCTTTAATGTTTCAGGTTCCCTTTATTTGGTGTTCTGTCTACATTTCAGGTTTGTTGAGAGATACCTCCTCTTTCTTCCCTCGATGTTGGGGTTTTTGCCATATTCAGTTTATTCCCTCCTTGCTTTTGAGTTAGTATTGGGTGTGACACTGCTCTTTGTTTTCCTTTCCATTATTAATAGTATTTTATGATCTGTTCCTTTTCTTCTCTTGTCCCTTTTTTGGGGGCGTTGCTCCTTTGGGTGGCACCTGTTCGCACCTTCTCTCTTTTCACATATTAGATCTGCTCTTTTGTGCCCCTTCACACAATATTCATATTCTTGCATGTCATGTTCTAGATGCTCTCACTCAGATCGCAGTTATTTTCTTGTCCTGACACATTCTATCCATTGGAGTAGTCTCTCAATTCTCTTATTTTCCGGTGGTTTTGTCTTCCATGGGATTCTCCCCACATAGATCCCTTTACTACATCCATTAACTGCACATTACCTCTATTTAGTATCCGGTACCTCCTCGTCTAGCTAGGACTGTTGATGCCTTCAGCCAGGCTCCTGTATGTCCATCCACTTACTTCCATGGGTGATTTACATCATCCCTACCATTCTGTTTGCTTCTTAACACTTTCAATATTGGCTCGGTCAATTTGACTTGCCACATAACCTCTTTATACTCGATTAAAGTCATTATAGATTTGATACTTCTAATTTTTAATATAGTGTGTATATCTTCACAAAATTTGGCAGTTTTTCAGTTCATATTATAACTCTTTCATATAGAAAAAAACATATTT